TCAGATGACCCAACAAAGCTTCAGGGACTACTCGAAGTACATGGAGGACAACGAGAGAACAAGCAGTGAAAACACCTTGACTGGTGGCTTTCAAATGACCCTACGAAGCTTCGGAGACTACTCGAAGTACATGCAGACTCTACAAAACTTCGGAGATTACCTGAAGGACATGCGAGGAGTGCGCAGGGCGTAGGAAGTGCCAATGTGATGGCCTGCGCGCGCGCGCCCGCAGGAATACCGTGGCACGTATGCAATTTGAAATTCCGTGCTTGTTTTCCAAACCTGACTGCGGCGGCTCAGCTATGTTGCTGTTCCCGTTTATATTTTTGTTTGGTGTGTGTGCGAGCGCATGGCTAAAGGACCATACTCAGCCGTTAGGTGCACAAGCCCACCTTTGCTCGACTTATCCGAGGATGTAGTCAAGTCTTGCATCCATTGTTGTTTTGTTTGCTTGGAAGCAGGGGCTCGAAAGTTCAACTGATGCTTCAGCTGGGCGAGGGCCTGCGTTCCACAATGGCTTGTTTTAATTAGGTGCATGTTGCTGCTACTGGCTTCGACCATATGGCATATGCAAAGAAAAAAAGGTTGTCCTTTACCCAAGTTCTTGGGCATTGGAAGCAATCCACGATGCTGAGACCTCAGAGAAAAAGCAATCATGATGGTTTCTGTTGTGGGGTTAGTCGGTACCCTTCACTGTCTACCGCAATCCTGTGTGTTTGACTCACAGTCAGGTGGGCACCTGATAGGGGCAGCTGGTTTTGCTGGGGATGGCTGACATTGGCTGAGTGACCAATCTGTTCCATGGCGAAGTGAACCAGTCTCCGGGTGAACGGTGTGAACGGTGAGGATGGCACGGATCTAGAGACTTACAACGCTGATTCATCGATGCTGATGTTTCTCTCCATCGGAGAAGAAGGGCTAAACCTGACTGGACACCCGCTGACCCTGAATTCTAAAACCATTCAAGACCATTCAAGACCTAGTTCAATGGCTCTCGGAAGAAAGAAGATCCTGCCTGTGACCTGGCGGCCCTGGGATGCTCTAGAATGCCCTAGGTATGAAGCACCAGCTGGCCAAGAGGCCTATAACCTGACCATCAAAGGATCCTATAACTCGAACTCGCTTCACCCCCGCCGCCTGGAGCTCCGACTTGCTCAGTTCCCCATCCTGCACATAATCTGCGCAGATGCGCAGCGCTTCGCATCGGCGCCCAGCTCCAATCCAGGAACCCACCCACCTGACACCTCGATGCAAAAAGAGATGAGGTTGTTTAGGTTCCTACTTCCTACCCTCGCAAATGGGAGAACCCCCAAAAATTAACACAAACATGCTTCATGATGTGTTCTTTTCAGCAAAAAAAAAGTCTTAATGTTGGCACACCATGACATACACCGCTAAAAACCGAACTCACCACGGAACTCAAACGGCTCCTTGTTGGCATCGATCCGCTCGAAGAGTTCGCCCTGGACACCGCGACCACCGGGCAATGCGAGGTGTCCGGCATTCGAGCGGTTTGGAGGGTGTGCGTTTTGGGAAGTTGAGGGTCCGTTTTGGGTGATAAGTGGGATCATCTGGGAACCCCAAGAAAAGCACTCCAAATCGGCACTTTAGTCCAAAAGAAAGAAAGCTAGACAAAGCTTTTTTTAGAGGGTTTTGTTGAGGATGTTGAGGAAGATACTCTCAAACAACTGGTGTGGAAAGAAAGTCATCATCAAAAAGCCGGGGGTCCTCTCGTCTGGTGCGCTTTTTTCGTTTGTCAGCTCGTGTGGGGAGCAGCCTGGAAGCGGAGTGGCGGAGCGGGAGCTTTCAGGATCGGATTCTGAAGCCCTTTTCGGAAGAAGTTATGGCTTGGTATAGCAGTCTGGAATCAAGTTTGGGACTGCAATCAAGCCATGGCTTGACAGAAGTTCAAGCCATGGCTTGATGAATTTGGCAGCAATCAAGTTCACCGATGACGTGTCGTGCTGGTGACCGATGCTGGCCGATGTCCGCCCATCAGCCCATGTCAGATCTCCACCCTTCGAAATTGATTCGTTTGAAAGGAATCAGTGCGCAAGAGCACGTTCCACGGCTTTTCGAAGATTTGAGGGGTCAAACACCTCCCAACGTCCAGGTCCACCTTCTAACCTTGAACTCAAAAGAGGCAAACAGTAGATGTGCGGATTGGGCATGACGCACTCAGTCTGGTGTCGCCTCCGTCAGGCCGTCTCGCTTCAGCTGATAGACCAACACGTTCAACGCATCGTTCCTGAGGACTCTGGTCCGTGGGAATCCGTGGTCGGCGGATTGCTTGGTCGATGGACAGATGGGGAGTGGTCCCATACGGAGACGAAGCTGCAACCAGCAAAAAGAGACGGAAGCTGCCTGGGTCTGTCTTTCTCCACATCACAGCCGCGGAAGACCACATGGAACCCCGGCTGGTGCCACTGCTTGATTGATAGTCAAACAGTTCAGCAAGCAGGAAAGGTTCCACTTCATACTTCACCCCATCGGAAATTCGTAGAACATCCCAGATAACAGAAACCCAATGTGACTCCGTGAAACACTGAAAAAAGAAAAACATCAAGTCGAAGTGAATGGATTAAACTGGCAGGTGTTGCCAGCCGTGATTTCAAATGTGTAGTATGACTTTATGACCTGCATTTACAGAGGTTTTAATAGGAAAACATGAGAGTGCTTGTCCTGCTTCCCTCCAACCCGCACCCAGTCCATAACAATTGCCGCTACAAACACCAACCCGTCTGCTAGCCTGTTGCGCCATGTGGCAGGCGGGGCTTCTGCCGGATCTGAGTGAGACGATGCGAGACATCTCGGCGCCAGTCTTCATGGGCCTGTTCTGCATACCTCTCCTGCATCAGCTCATGCTCCAGCCTAAGACAACGCATGTGTCACGCGTCACGCGGAGTGCACGGGAATGGATCGCACGAACCGGGTGACGTGATAAACGTTCGGAACACCCCAAGTTTGAAGACTTAAAGGGAGACACACCTTCAAAAGTCTTGCGCATCTGCCTCTTCCAAACCCATCTGCGGGTTGCTACATGTTTTAATCTACTTAGGAAGGAAGCTCTGCAAGTCTCCCAAAAGCAGGCGCAAAAAGGCCAAAGCAGCCGTTGTAAGACAAAACTGCTGAATCGAAGCCACCAAAATTGCATCGAGCAAGAAAGCAAATGTGTGTCTTTTAATCATGCCTTATACTTATACTACCTTATCCGACTTTATCCTATTGGGCCGGCACCTCACGCAGCTTTTACCAATTACCAATCACCGGTGCTGCTGGTGAATGTTGATCCATTCTCAAAGCCTCCTGCTGTGGTTTTTGGGTGTGTTGATCCGAGCCCCTCGGCCCTACAGGTCACCAATACTCTAGCAAGGACGGCAGCAGAGCTGGAAGACTTTTTTCACTCACGGGACGGGCATGAAGAGCTAGGGTATGAGTAAGTTGTCTTCTGTCATTCTAATGTAGTACTGTTATTGGTAAGAACCCACTCTGAAGAGGCTTTACAGTCTAAATGCGGTGGTTTGATTCATCAACAGTCTAGATTGGTCTTCTCCCAGCTCAGCTGAAGCAACACACCGAACCCTGCCAATCTTGAGGGGTTCCAAGGCGCCACTTGGGCATTTCGCGAGGAGCATGGCTGCGAGGCTTCAGCTTCTGGCTGATCTGGGCGCCGTTGCCCTTCAGGAGTGGTGCCTTACAGGTTCGATGTGCCTTTTCAACCCAGTGGATGTCGATGTGGCAAGGCTCACCGACGATGCATCGATGCGTCTCCAACATCTATAGGATAGATTAGGATAGTACTGACTGCAAAAAAGAATATTGGTATGTATGGACCTGAGTCCTGTATACCATTCTATGTCTGGACCGTCCGATGCGAAACGCGAAAAGAAAGGGACAACTCGGCCCCACAACCTCATGAATGTCCCTAGCGATGCACAAATTCGATATCAAATGTATATCCAAGTGTTGGGTCTCGCCGACTGTGTTAAAGCAGCTTTCACACAGGGGGGGAAAACAAAGAAAGGCGGGTGCACTAGGAGCCGTAGGAGGCACACCATATGGCTGTGGGTCAAACTTGAAGCCCCTTTCGCCCTGGTAGTCTATTCTGTTCACTTTCGCCTGGAAAAATCCGGGTGTAAATTTGGGTGTGTATTTTAGTAGGGAGGCTGGCAGACCTCCAACCAATGGTTTTTGCTCTATTTTCCTTCAAGGGTGTCTTTGGCAGGTCTCCCTATTTCTATACACACCCATTTGCTTCGATCCAATCCCCTCTTTTCTTCGCCACGCCGCTGAGGGCGCATGCGAGAGCGATCGCTTGGGCTCGGCGTCTTGGACGGACCGCTCGATCGCGCCGCTGAAGGGGCGAACCAAGATCTTCCCGATGGATTTCATGCCTCGGCGTCGGAGCGGAGTCTACCGGCCGGCCGGCTTGGTGAAAGGGGGAGTTCCGGTGGAACTCCGGCCCCGAAGATGCGGATCTTTAAGCAAAGAACGGTTCTACTGCGGATGTTGGGACAACACCAGCTCAACCTTTTCGTTTAATGGTACTTGAAGGCGAACGCTTCCCAGCTGCCATCTGCTGATGCCGTGTCTTTTCAGTGACTCACCGCGCTGAAACATTTGGGTATGTATTTTAGTCGGGAGACCTCGAAAACCAATGGGTTGTGCTCGATGTCCCGACGGATCTTTTGGTGGGATGTTTACACCACCCTTTGCAAGACCTTTCCGAGAACCTCGCGGTTCTCCCGCGCGTTTCTGTCGATTTCGTTCCCGAGGTGGACGGTACTATTGCATTGACAGGACATGAGAGGACCCGAGTTCCCCTGGGATTGACACACTTGACAGGCTCAAAGAGAGTACTGAATGACCAGAAAGGATGAGAGAGGTATGCGAGCTCACAAACCAGTACATACTTCAGTTCAGTAGTTCTAGCGGCAGAGCTGCCCAACACTCATTTGTGAGATGCTCAGTGCATTCCGGGCAAAAAGTTCTTGAGGGGAGAGGGACAAAACACACATTCGAAATTGACTTCGCCACTACATTATACCGATGCGGAATCAATGCTCCTTTCGAATTACAGTCAGGCCGTTCCAAGGATCTTTAAGAACATGTGTGTGTGTGTGTGCGTACTAGAGTAATCAGACCTCCCAGGCAACGACCGCAAGGAAGGTTCCGAAAATAGACCCGTCTAGCCACCCACACCAGGGTGGTTTCCCTGTTAAACATTAAAAATACCCGGCGACCTGATCCTTATCACTCTTCCACAGCACTAAGGAAGAAAGCAAATAGACCACAAATGACAGCCTGTTGCCAGGTGGTTTCCCTATTTCCAATACACACTCCACTGCTTCCATCCATCCCTTGTCCATCGCCGGGAGACCCACGGACTGCGGGAAGGAGTCACATGCATCGCCTCCTCACCCCAGCCCTTGAACCAAGCATCTGAGCCAAGCAAGCATGTCTCCTTCACTGAAGCGATCCCCATGTTCTCCGGCTAGGGTGAATGGACTTGTTCGGTGACTGGATGAATTCTGAACGCAGATTCCACACCATGTCTCGTGGTTTGACTGCTTTGGGGATGCTTTGGGGGCTCATGAAGTCCACGACTGGCAACCAACTCAACAACTGACGACTGGCTCACTGGTCCACATGCAAAGAAAAAGAACCCACAGCCCACACACACCATCTCTTATAGGTCCGCCCCAAAGAAGGGTGTGACTTCCTGCGCTCTTTGGAAGGTCGGAACCCTCCAACGAACCTCCGAACCTCCCTGCGCGCGGAGGCAGGCGATCTGAGGCGCCCTGGCGGCTTTGGCCAGTGCCTGTTCCACGAGACAAGTTCAGAACACCTGGAAAACCAGAGCCAGGAGCCCCGGAACTCGTAGCATCCGTGCTCCTAGTAGATCCTAGGTCCTAAGGCCAGGAGCCCCGTTCGTATCGTCCTTGCTCCGTTCGTAGATCTAAGGCCAAGAGCCCCGTTCGTAGCGTCCTTGAGCCAAGCTGAATGAGTTGAGGGTGAGTTCACCTGGAATTCGTTTCATACCGATCCTGGGAGAAGAAAATGGGAGGGATCCATGACAAACACCCCTGTCACACTCCTGTCCTTGTTGAGCTTTGAACCCCTTCTATGCTATCTCCGCCCGCCCCAGTTGCCAGGCCGTCCCAGGTTCCCCCCTCGCGGCCTGCAAGATGTCCCCCATCGTCGAGCCCGCTGGGACTGTCAAGCGCACCTATGACAGCCACACCACATCGCGAGGTCTGAGAACATTCAGTGGAGGGGACTCCCAGAATCTGGGACCCCTCCCGAGGTCTACTGAGCCATCTGATGCAACGGCACCAGGTGGGCCAAAAATCTGGACAGTTGAGTGACGGTTGCAGGGTCGAAGTTCTCCTTCTTTTGGAACTTCCATCTACAGCAAGACTGACCCCCGCGAGTGAGTTTGGCCTCACATGAAACATCGCCAGCTGACCCCCGTCGGCCTCTGCATCGCTGATGGCGTGTCGAATGCGCAACTTCACCGTGTCCTGGCGCTGGCACTGGCGCTTGCTCGCCACAGATGGACCCCCGAGGGAGTCCACTGGTCCTGGGGAGTCCGGAGCCTTAGGATTACGTTTGATGAGGCTTCAGTGGTTCTTAAGGCTCTTAGGATGAGGTCAGGTGATTGGTCATGCTTGGTTTTTTAGGATTGACAGGCTTCTGCATCTTTTCCTCCCAGTCGACCTGGGAGAAGTGCCTTTCTGGAATGAGTTCCGCTCATCCGGATATTTTATCCTCTTCCCAAAACGAAAAACAAGAAAAACAGTCCACAGAAATCCTATCAGCTCGACATCCCGATGATTTTTCATCCTCTCCAAGCCTCCAATCCAAAAGAACGGGTACCGACCAGCCGCACCCTCTTCTTTTTGGGGGCCCCCAACCCCACTAAAAATGTCTTGGACACCGTGCCACCATCCATTTGGGGATCACTCCACACCCATCTCCGCTTCCCCCGACTCGCCTCGCCCCCCCGACTCGCGACCTTCATGTCCCGTTTCCCGGTCGGTCCCACCTGTGCGATCGTCCCATCTCTAGGACCCAGGAGCGAACCGGATTCCACTTGCAGCAGTCGAGTCTCCACCTCCGGTCTGACAGGTTGAGGTGGTTGGGTCGGACGACCTGGCGACCTGGAGACCCAAGAGGTGTACTGCCAATTTCATGACTCAGGACCAGGTCATGGGCATGTTCGAACCAACCTGAACCATGAAAACCCGATAGTTTTGTAAGTTTGCTTTGTGCTTTGTTGAGTTCCAGGCTCTCTGGGCTGAAGGACAGGTGGAGGGTGACAAGAGAATGACAAGTCGAAAAAGGATGAAAGCCCCCAACTTGGATTCACATCAGGGAGCCCAACAATCCATGTTGGTGTTGTTTTTGTGTTGGAAATTGCAGCGAACACTACACGGAGCGCAAAAAAGCCGAAGCGCCAAGTCCTAGTGATAGAACACGAGGCGACGCCCGGCGACCGTCTCCCGTCGGGGTGTTTTTGGGGGTTCCATCGGGGGCGATGTGTCAACACCCCGACTTCCCAACGGTTGGTTTCGGCTTTTCGAGCGACCGGTGACTCCTGGCTGCTAATACTGCTATCTCCAAACTCCGGTGATGGCGGATGGCGTGAACTCCACGGAACATGTTGGAGCGCATGATGGGCTTGGGAAGTCCTGTCTTACCTATCTTCACGAATAGGGCTATATGCGGAGAACGGCTATGAAGCACAGGGTGGTCATGACGTTGGTACCCCAGACCCAGACCCTGCGCGGCCCGCCGTTATGGGCACCTCATGGATGGTGCTCCTGAGCTTGGAGTCTTTCAAGTGGGGAGCAATGGCCTCCTGCATCCGCACCAGACCTTGCTGAGTGACCGCGTCAGGGTGCAAAGATGATGATGAGGATGAGGATGAGGATGAGGATGAGGATGAGGATGAGGATGAGGATGATGATGATGATGATGATGATGATGATGATGATGATGATGATGGTGAGGAGGAGGAGGAGGAGGAGGAGCAGCAGGAGGAGGAGGAGGAGCAGCAGCACCTGTGTTGGGAGACGGCGCTGACCTGATCAGTTTCTGTGGCCTCCAATTCAGGGGGCGATAGTCACCCCAAGACCTAGAAAGAGTGTGTTCCGCATGCAGTGCCAAATGCTCCTCACGAATTGGTGAAAGACGTCATCTCTCTGAGTACCGAGCATCCAGGATCTCCACCTCAAGGCATGTGCGTTGGCACTCGCTGCGTTGCCCGTCGCCGGCCCCGGGGCCGGTGGGGGTCGCTGGAGTTCCGTCCGTCCCGGGAGTTCCACTTGAGGGGGCCCAAGCTCAGCCAAAGTTGCATGGAATGTTCATGGAGTCGACTGTCAGGGATTTTTGAAGGGGTCAAAACCGGTCAAAACCGCTCTTTCACCACAAGTTGGAATGTCAACCTTCAAAAACTCAAAATGACTCTTTACACTTGAAATGACTGAATCCCCATATTCCAAAAGAAGGTACACCAAAAATTAGCCAAAAACTCCTCGATCGGCCAGGGCATTCTTTGGGTAGTTCAATCGACCCCAGATCATGCGGAGATGGTCCTGAAGAGTCTGAACTTCGGACACCGAACGGAGCATCGCACGGTGCATCGCGGCATCGAACGGAGCGATCGGACGCCGAACGGAGGCCGACACACCAATCACATGTTCACTAACAGTCTTTTTCGCCCGATTCTGAGAGCCTCATTGGTTGACTGAGCATGAGCCTCAATTGACAGCTTCCCGCAGGGACACAATCTCAAGAGGTCCTTCTGGGTGTGGGTCATGTACGCACGTTGCATCATGTTTCACATCATCCAAGCAACAGCATGGATGATACCTATATGGCCAAGCGCCCATTAAGGAACCCCAAACCAAAAGACTCAACAAGTCCCCAAAAGGAAAATCAAGAACAAGATCTACCGGCTCGGCCAGCTCGGCACCTCGATCGCACCAAGGCTTTGATCACTGAACCCCCCTGTGACTGGCACCTGTTTGGGGTGGAGATCTCTCCGCCCCGTGACCGGCCCGTCCGGGCTCATGTGTCCGGGACGGTCGAACGCGCGCCATGTCCGGCCCCGGTGGACCTCCCAGTGTTGGGGCTCCCAAACGCAAGCGGAAGGCCAAGGCGGTGGGTCTGAGGAGCTGGTACAAAGTCATGTAGACCTCCCAGTGGATCCGGTCGGGGCGAGTCGGACCGGGCGCCCTGGGAACAGTTCAGCCACCTTTCGGATGGGCGGAGGAGGAGCGGAGCGGACCATGGGGAGAGGTGGAGGGTGCCATCCCTTTACCATCGGAAGAAATGAGAAGTGTAAAGGGAAATAAAAGGAATCCAGTTCCAGCACGGTGCTTCTT